TTTTGTTATCGTATTTATAATCGTAATCCCCACCACCAACCCAAACAAGAACACTGACCATAGCACTGACTTCATTTCGTCCTCCAACCTCCTACACCACCTGAACGAAACACCGACGCAACCGTTGTCAAGCTAACTGTGTACGAGTTTGGATGTTGTTCGCTCGGCAATGTGATAAAAATTCTAATCCGATGCTTGCGTCAGTCGGGGACCGATTCAGTGTGGTTACCTGGTCCGGGACAGTTAATGCACTTGTTTGTTCGTTTGATAGGCACTAGGTTCAGATCCCGGGCTAATTAACTTTTATCGATTGCATGTATCCATGAGGCTTAGGCATCAATTGAACCGCCCCACAAGATGGGAACCGATTGTCGTGCTGAGCAATCAATCTAGGCTATGCCTATCTCTTGATCATTCTGATACATCTTTCCCCTTTGGCTGGAAGAAAGCACTTTTTCGATGAAATATCAGCAAATATACAACATAATCAAAATATCTCGATCGAAATGGTTAAAAAAAAGAATAGCAACAGATTTTGTGTTATTCTAACTGTAACCGGCAAAGACAATCATTTGAGAGAATACATCGATTATTCTCATCATAATGTTTCCAATCGTGCCATTAAATCTGTACAACTATCCCAAAAACCTGATTATTTGTTTAGTGAACAATTACATGGACTTATCATTTGCTTCCGATTTACACCTACGCGATCGATTCCCCAGTATTAAATCAGTACAAACAGATTACAAAATTCCCGAGGTTAGAAAATCCTGTTTTGTATCAGATCGGTCTGAAACCTCCGTGTTCTATGGTGATATCAGAAACCAAGACCAGATTTACAGAATACCTAGGTTTTGTGAGTACTTTATTCAAACCACGAAGCTCATAGGGCATATGTTCTCTGAAGAACAGCGGTTGAAAATTAAGTTGTTATTTGAGACATGCATCTCGGATCAAGACGTCATATGTTTTAATTGCAAGTAGTTTAGATGGTGTAAAGTTTCCAACATCCAGTTCGTGATTAGCACAACAAAAAAATCCGTTGATTTCCTCAAAAATACCATAATTTGTTTGGGGTGAGCATATGAAATGTCGTTTGGTTGTTCAATTATTATGCTTGAACGAGGGGACGATCAAAGACGGGCTGTTTGGGCACAGTGCCACATAGACTTTAAGTGGTGGTCGGGGCGGTGAGATTTGAGCAGTGGTTGGTTTATTAGCCAACTTTTGTCTACCGATTGTTGGCTTTCGGTCATGGCTTCTCGCGGTACTTGGTTCAAAGATAATCAGTGTGCACCAGAACAACTACTCAATTATGCCGTATATCGGTCGGGTGAATGCCACCTAGACAATGCACGTCGTCAAAGGCTTGTCGATCGCGANNCCACGGAGAACAAGCTTTGATCGAAAATTGTTTCAATGAGTCAGTATTTCTGCGTCCGTGGCAGTGCATACGTCACGAACAGAAATGAAAGAAAAAAATGGAACGAGGCGGCTATCACATACTTCGTGCGCGTTCAAGGCTTTAAATATGCGCCAAGACATAAGATGGACGATGTGATGGACGTAGAATCTAANACAGTATTAAAATTTCCACTGGTTCAATTCAAAGCAGTCAAATAATGGGCTGGTTGAAATGGGCATTACGCAAATACTGACAAGTGGTTAATTTTAGTTTAATTTAAACTAGCAGGAATTAAACAGGCACTTTCGTGCAGCGGTTTTGATTGTTGTCTTTAGGCTACCTATTTGGAAGAATGAATGCAATGAAACAGTGCCGAGACGAAAACAACGAATTCAGTTAAACTGCAAGAACCGAAATGATCGGATGGCACCACCAACCAATCATGCGAATTTCCGTCGCCAGTGACAAATTTAGAAGCACGAATTCCGGAGTAAAAATTACTCATGCTAGTGAAACACCCTATATTAGTGGCTGTTTCAGAAATAATGTATAACTTATATTGAACCATTATCACTATGAAGCTAAATATACAGTCCTAAAAAATGGTACAATATTCTAGTGGTTTCAAGAGGGTGCCCGATGATTTACCTGTTATATATTTCAACACTTGCCATGGGATCATTTTGGTGTCAAGTTTCAGTTTTCAGGTTATCACGTATAGTATATATAATACATAGTGGAAGGAATGTTACAACACATTTCAATAAATCTCACCGTTTGACTTAGTTTGTTAAATTGATGCGCCGGCTCGCGAACGGAATACGTTTCAGCTAAATTATTTAGACAACTTGTTTTTGCGCACTACTGACACGCATGCCAAATTGTCACTTATCACGATCATGGTGACCGCAAACAAATCGAGCAACTTAATCATGCCAAGACAAAATCTGTTTGGAGAAATTGTCAAAATGCTATTTAAGACAGATACATATCTCAGATTGTCCCGGTCGATCCGGTTCACAGCATAGCTCTCTCTTGTCTCCATACGATGATCTACCGAGAGCGATATGTTCTCTTTCAGATTTTATCGATCGCATACCCGTCATGTGACAAGGGGCACTGATGGAATTTTGAATCACCCCGGTCTGCGGTGGATGTTGGATCCGTGATTGGAGTTTTGTGCGTGAGATTTGGAGGTGGGGGCGCGTACGAGCGTGGACCACTTGAATGACCGTTTAAATCTGGTGCGTGAAGCAAGTGGCCGATTGTGAAGACAACCAGGGTGGTTCCATGTGTGCGTGTGCATGGTGGTCCAGAACCACCTCAGTGGCCATTTCCTGCGAGTATTTCTTTTCGTCATGAAGCGTGTTCCTACAGGTGATTACGTCTTAGAGTCCTTTTTCTGGGTCACTGGTGAGTAGTAACTTGGCACGGTATAGAAACTGATCATATCATGAATGTTCCTAGCATCAAGGTAAAACAATATTGAGGTCAATACCGTCGTGTATGATAACAACACTAAATTTAATTGAACTTATGAGTTGTATTGCATCGTATCAGTTTTTTTTGTCGCCCACCTGGATATTTCATTTCCGGGATATTCACCCCACTCCAACACACTGCACCCTAAAATCGGGCGGTATACTATCGTGCCGTCATAAACCTTGTCGCGGTGTACAACGAAATACCACGAATTCATATAAGCTTATCTAGGAGGCAATGCAAAGTCCAACGTACCGGTTGTAAACACACAAGAGATGAGAAAAAAACCGAAGAGAAAACTTACCTGTTCACCTGCACAGAGAACCAGAGCGTCCTCAACAAACAATATCGAGCGCAATACAGAAATGATCACGTCTCAAGATCAACTGGGCCAAAGCGGTTTCTTAATTCGCCTTCATGAATTACACTGTCAAGAAGCTGCTCATATTTGGCCATTGTACTGTACATCCGTAAAAATTCATGTATGCTCGTTCACCACCACATGGAGTGTCTCCGACCTCAGTACGAAATACCATAACTGTACCTGATGCGACCTTAGATGTCCATGACTAACAATTTCTTTTTATTCCATCTTCCTCCCTACCCCGAGATTTTTTTTTGGAGACCGCATTCCATTGACTGCGAGTAGAGTCAGGTCAGCCGATAAAACATAATTGGGGAGGGCGCATTGATTTGAGTTCACATTCAGATAAGAACCAAGATACCCTACTTTGCATTCGGGCATGTTGGATCACGTTGTGATTCCGATGAATGCGGCTGAATAACTCGCGTACAAGGTCAAGCGAATTAAGTTAATCATTGAAGCTCATTCGCTTTGACCGCGTTAGGCGTTCGGTGGGGTTGGCCGAATCACGGTGCGCCACTAATCTAAGGGAACGGCGAGGAACTTTACAAGCATCCGAAAGGGGATTTAATGAAACGAAAAACGTTACGTTCCGCTGTTGTGAAGTCGTCATTAGCTACCGGACCGTTTCGGGTACAACGGATTAAACGGTTCTGCCGTATCAAAAAACAATTCGGTGCTAACACGTGCTGTATAGAAAATATCATTTCGCGCATGGTTGCAAGTTCATGGGTTGGATGAACTTACAAACGCGGGACCACAAACCTCAACGCACAATGTTGGTAGGCCGCATCCGGAAAATCCTGACGATCCCCTCGCAATAAACTGAACTGCGAAAGTATGGGCGAGATGCCCGCACTTGGTTTGCCGGGGTAACCGGTATTTCACTCCGAAACATCTCATTGTGTAGCCACCATCATTGCAGGTTAGACGAGAGCTACATACCCGAAGGGCGTGACCGAGTCCCTCGCGCTGGACACGACCGCCTTCCAAGAATGTTGTGGCTGACAGCCGGAGTCCGCCGAGCGGTCACCTACCTACATGTCGAAAGCTGATTGCGACGAACCAGGCAAGCACGCTGACGTATCCTCCAACGAAATAGGGCTTTACCCTTGACATTAGGACCAGCTGCCACCTTGCTACGGTACGCGCCCAGGTAAACCAGTGAAGACCGCGCGGTTACTATAGGCACGGGAGTCGCTCGGACCATGCGGTTAAAAACCGCACCGAACACTGGGCCAAAGACGCAAATATATGAGCAATCGTTCAAAGCGGCATTTTAGTCCGCAGTCAATGTTATAAGACGGGAGCCAATCCGTTGCTGCCGACTACGGGGTCACAAATAAAGAACAAGCTTTGGCTTATCACACGCTCTTATGCGGTACAGCCTATATCCTTCGTTAACCGGAACTGGACTGCTAGCCGCTATCACAGAACCGGGCGAACGAACACGTTGGTCCACAAACTAGAAAAGAGCGGAGACCAAGCCTCCGAATGGAACACAGAGGGGAGCTGCCAATAAGACCTAATCACCCAACGCAGTGGGTAGCGTCCCATCGACTTGATATCAATGTTGTTCAGAGAAAAAAGCGGATGAAAGTAATTTATTGGGGACATAAGAAAATAACATGCAGGGATGACATAAAGTAGCTCTGGAACTGAGGGTCATGATATCATACAGACAAGAAAATAGGCATATCGCATAGTTAACGCATACAACGACCACCAAAACTCCGCCCATCAAGTTCACCGTTCAGTTCCGCGATAGGGACAGTATTTGATCGTGTGAGCTGCATCCCCCGTCGATTTGCACACTGGACAGGACAGCAATCGCAAAACAGGACAAGTGACACGACCTGAGGCATCTCGCACCTGCAAAAGAGAATTCCATTTATGTTAAGACCAAGCGAAGGTAAACGCCGGTTACTGTTGTCAGAAATTTTTCCGTTCTCCGCGAAACTCACCTTGTGTGTGATATACACTTGGAACGGTTCACCATTGTTCCGACAGAAGGCGCACAATTCCAATCCCTCCTCCGATTTTCTACGAACCAGAGCACGCAGCCGACGCAGGAACTCCGAGAACTCCTCCAGTTGGATACGGGTTGAGGATGACGTCGATTGGCCTCGGGTGAGACTGTAAGAAGAAACGGGGGTTTAGCAACGAGTACAGATAGTATAGGCTCCAGAAATTCAAGAACAACTTACCGCTTCTCCCACGTTTCCAACTCATTTTCCAACGAAGTCCACCGGTTACCTGCAAGCCGATGGAAATCAAACTAGAGATTCTGCATAATTTACTGAAAAGCGACCAGAAGACAAAGGGCGAACAAATACGAGATGGGCCTCACGACCATCGCCGCAAACCACACCCAACAGCTCGAGTCACTCGTACTTACCGGTAATTTTCATCGGTCTTATGAGCACATCGGTTTTTATTGATGACATCGTCGGAGGCGGGACCGGTGCCCTTGGCTTAGGTAACACAGTATCGCGTAGCCCCATTTGTTTGAACGAGTTTTGGATAGTATTCAGATCTGAAAAACAATAGTGGAATATACAGCGGTTGCTAGAGCACATTGCGAAGCACGAGTAAAGCACGAAAACATCCTCACCGGAGTCGCAGCAGTTGGGAGTTCGCAAATGAGGTTTTTCGGGCGGTGTGTTGATTGCTCGAGGTGAAGAAGATGTACTACTGGAGCCACGATTAGAGGTCCATGGCGACCAAGCATCGGGCCAGACGCCAATGGGGAAATCTGGTATGGTCACTTCACGGTGCGGGGCAGAATCCCAAAGAGATGCCAAGGCAGATGGAGAGCACTGCATGGCGAAAAATCGGAGGCTGTGAGAGTGGGGTCGCTAGGTTATGGCGCGCTTTTGTTTTGCAAAGTGACCAATCATATTTCAAGTTTCACTTCGACCAATCATTGTCACCCTGTATTCCTCAGTCTGGACCACCACAATTCCCCCTACCCCTCGTGGCATAGGCCGCGCTTTCTGCAGGGAACTTTGCGACTCGGTCGGTGACACGACCACATGAAAAACACACCCCTCCTTATGTATCGGATGTTCTGATTGGTCAAGCAGAACAGTATGTGTGCCTTTAGTTTCTATTACCGGTCATGCCGCCTCCGCGGTCCTATCACATGCACACGGTACGGGAACACGGATGTCGCCTAGGTTTGGATTTTCTGGCCCGATGCAGCAACCCTCGGTTGGAGAATCCGTCCTATGGTCACCCCAGAGTATTAGTTTCTTCTCCAATCTTCCTCACTTTTACACCGAATGGGGCACCAGCCCGGAGTGTGGCTCTCCTGTTGTGCGATAACCCGAAGTTTTGTACGAATGGATGAATGTTTCGGCCCTCGGTACGGGGATGCACAAACGAACGTTGTTTTTTGGCGTCCATATAGGCCCGATTGTCTATAAATCACGTGCCGAGGTTGGCTGTTCCCAGGTACTGACAAACGTTATGGTCAATAAACAGTGACGCACTCTCATTCCGCAATCCATAATTTACCTGCTAATCGAGCAGTATAACGCCCTGAGGGAAACTCGGAGATGCAAGCTAAGGTTACTAAGTGAGCTGGTTCTGAGTGTACTGACACGAAGGATATACTGCCCTTTTCAAATAAATCCATCATTTCAATCGTAACCGCTCGGATCCTCGATAATCACTGACAAGTTAGAGTTCTTCGACATGGTAGTGGAAAGTACTTACTCTTCACGGTAAAAGGTCACCTCTAACTTCTTTGTTCATCTGAGCCGCATTTAAGCCAGAGCAGACTTGTTTGTGGCCAACAGACTGACAAACCACTTCCAATACGTACACTGCACAAATATGATTGTTCTAACCCCTATTTATTGAATGCTAATTGGGATTGGCGTTTCTTTTGATAACGGAACTGCGGTTTATTACGCAAGAACGGAACGCCGTTTTCGGAACTCAAATGAACATAGCAGTAAACTGTTTACTAGTACACGAGTTTAACCAGTACTCATTGGTTTGAGTTCGAGAGTTCCATTGAAACTTATAACAGTACTTGAGGTTTTGAACGGGTGATTCAATATCAATGCCAGGCAATGCAATTTTCCTATGAAGTCATTTTCTATTTGATCCATTATGTAGCGCACTTTTCCCTCCAATGTCCAATGTGCAGGCCGCACAGTGACCTCTCTCTTCAAAACAGAAAACAGATTTTCAATCACATTGATTTCCGGGTTATTAGGGGGAAGTTGCATGAACTGAACCCAAGAGCCATGTATCTTTTCTGACGTCTAAAAGCAAATAATAAGTGAATCAGCCTACCTAATTGAATAAATTTACTAAACTCTCGTGGACCATGACACGGAGCGTTATCCTAAAAAAACGATAAATTCCAGACGATTATTTTTCTCAAAATTCTAGAAACAGTTCCGTCATTACTGATACGAATTCATGGTGACTTTGACTGATGTTCAGCACTACTTAGATCGAAGTAGACTAGAAATAAATTTTTGTAAGTACTTAAAGCATCATATAGATGATAAATATAATGAAACTAAATTTGATCAGAAAGCAAATTGTTTAGTTTATCACAATCGGCCAGTACTGTACTTATGCCTTGCATCTCATCGATCGTGCAACTGGACGGTTCCGTTTCATAGGATTACCGACGAGGGTGAAACGGATGAATTCCTTCGGTGGTATGCTCAAGAGATGGGTGCCTTCGATATCAAGTTCAGCTTCTCGTAGAAGAATTACAGTTCTGTGCAGTCGTCCTTTTCGTTCCCAGGGTTGCCAATGATACCTTTGTCTCCCAACTTTTCGGGTCCATAGTGTTTTATCATATCATCCACGTCGGGGAAAAGTTCTAGCCACCATTTATCCAATGTCATTTTGAAAGCGTGGATACTAGACAGGTTGATTAGCTCCTCGGACAGTTTATTGGAATTATTTGCAATTCCATTGCGGAAGTAATTTGAACTCACCTCGAATCTATTCCTTTCCCTCTGAATCCGGACCACTGGTACCCCTATGAGGGCCATTAGTGGAAAAATCCACAGGGTGGATCCCAGACAATCCCCTCCCTACTGTAAACGTTTCGATAAGGTTTCCTTTAACAGATCCTGTTCCCCAGACAATATTTGACACTCTCCTGTTATCAGTGCCATGTCCTACTTCTCTGACCATTCAAATAAATGTCAAGTGTCCCTCACTAGGTTGCAATTGCCATCTGAGCCCACCACCTTCACGTCATCTGCGAAGACGAAACATGATGAATTTGTGTAGTAATCGGAATAGAAATTGGAACCAAATAGCGCGATTTCGGATTCATACTGTAAACCCATTGAATACCTCAAATTCGGGTGGAACCAAGACGAGCTGTCTGTCCCAGACGCTTTGTTCACGCTATGTTACACCAGTACCCTGTGCACATCCGCTGGAGTTATCACACGTTTATCTATAAGTTGAACCCGTTGACCTCCTCCAGGCGGGACAACCAACCGTTCAACATCATTGAACACACTAACAAAGAAACTCTCCAGTACTATGGTCTTATGCTAGTCAGCTGTGGTTACTGTGTGGTCTTCAAGTTTAAGGGCAAATATCGCATTCCTAAGCACCCTCTTTGACTGCACGTAACTAGCAACTCATGGGTTTGTCTTCACAATTTTAGCTGCATTCAGCTCGTATTTGCGTTCCTCTCTTTGAACAATGCGAACAATCTCGTTTCTATGTTCTGCGTAACGCATCCGTGACAGTTGCGATCCAAGCCACCCCGCTATCGTTTCCAGCTGGCATTTCGACGATGCATAGTCATACCGATGGCAGCCCACCACCAAGGTGCCTTACCGAATGACCTCCAAACTTGAATAAGTGTGAACACGTCCTGTAACGCAAATAAGTTCGTCTTAATTATCTTAAACAAATCTTCCTCTGTAGACCTATCCTCGGCTTGCTGCCAGACGACCTCAGATGCTTTCTTTTGCAGTCCTTCAAGGTCTAGGAAGCTCTGTTACTGTACACATTGTGAACCATTATCTACGTCTGGTAGGTAAAAAAGAACACCAGGATTAACACTTTTTGGGACGCCTGTGCCAGGTTATCTAATATAAATCGGAGTTGTTTCTCCTCCATTGGCACAGCACTCGGACTCCTGTGTACACACGCTACGTTTATTTGGTGTCCCTCGGTGGTGATGGTGATTGAGCACATCTGTATGTTGTTCGCACAGACTTCGTGGATATCCTTCCTTACTAAGAGGATTACACCACCGCAATGCAACTGGTTGCTCCGATCCTGCTTATGAACCTCAGACGCTTCACGGGCCAGTGATGGAACATTGTAATGACTGACGAGCCATGATTCTGGGATGATTACAACGATAGCTTTGTGTTCTTTTGTCACTTTTAGGGTTTACACCCACTTACTTCTGATACTGCACACATTGGTGCATAGTGCCACTACTTTACCTTCCCTCAAGGCTAAACTTATCCGGATTCCAAATATCCGATATCTTATATTTTGAGCACCTGCAGGTTATCTCAATTATTGTATTCTATGCATATATATATATATATATATATATATAAAGACGTAAACTGCCATGAAGAAGTTACAATAGAAGAAGTACAGTAGAATCTAACTGTGACTAAGGCTGGAAGAAATCAAATGTATTTAATAATTTCGCCCCTCTCGTTCCCTCGAAGTTTAAGTCAAAAATAGATTGGGCTAATTTATAAGCATCTTAATTGCAGTCATTAGGAATGAACGAATTTCGGTTGGAAATGAACTAATTATCTCATTTTCACGGCAAAAATCTGGTCATAAATGACAATTATCATCAGGGGTGCTCATTCGACATAATCTGTGCTCCTACAATATGTCGTTCAGCTTTCACCGCCACCCCCAAATTCGCTCTTCACGAGGTGGTCCAGAGTCACACACGATTCGTTCTAGGGTGGTTATTGTCACCTTTGTGCACATTTATGCCTGTGGTTTGCATCAGTCTGCCCCCCCCCGCCTCCACCAACACACGCGCACTCCGAACCTGTCGCACACTCTCACGATTAGATTCACCGGCGTTTAGAGGATATAAGGGGAATGTGAGCCACTTGACCTTGTTTTAGGGTTCGATTTCAAGTCAAACGCTTGAATGCGTTTCGGCTTTTTAGACACTCATATATGTGCGTGTATGTCCCCACCTTATGATTGTTTCATCACTATCAACAGTTATGCTGTTTAGGTTTCATAGAATCGTGTATGGTTGGGGGTTAGGGATACATTACACTGCTCGAAGGGGGAGCGAAAGTGGCACATTACGAGACTCAGCTCGACACTTGATGCCAGTAATAATGTTACGAACAAGGATGTTCGGGAGAATCGGATCGAATCTATGTTTGTCATGACGGAGGTCAATCGAGAAATCAGTTGGCGAAATCATTGAACCGTTCACATAGTGAAACGTAAAACGGAACCAGGTGACAAATCAACCGAGTTCGTGCCAGTCTTTTCAACGATAATGAGTGACAATGTGCAGGCAGTCCACGGCAATTTCAACCGTTTGATGATCGAAAATATAGCTATGGTATGTGCTTTGCATCCTCCAAGTGTGAAGTCCATGGGAAAGATTGCCGGGAGCCTGTGCATGCAATCGTCATTTTGTGATGATCAGTTAAAAGTAGTACAGTGTACTTCGAGTGCTTGTTTATAGCTGGAGGTGGTTTTGGAGAGCAGAGTAGTTTTTGATAACCTGCGACACCTGTCTCAGTACTATGACATTCGACTTAGCCCTAAAGGAAGTGTTCGTAGTGCCCTGCTCAAGGTTGAGAGACTTGGTCTC